AGGGCAGCTGTTGCCTCCGTGAAGAGAGGACGGAGGGGGAGAGAAAGAAAGAGGACACAATTTTTTTTGAAAAGTTGGAGATCCAACCACCTTGGTCATAAATAACTTTCTGACTTGTCATGACCTATGCCCCGTTGAAACTATGGACCCTTTCGCGTCGGCGTTGGTCTCTACCCAGCATCAATCGACAAACGAGAGCAGTTAAATGACAACAGCATACGGCTCGTCGCCATGCTTTAGGGATTTCCGTTAAAGCGAAAAAAAAAAATCGATCACTTGGGAAAATAGCATTCGTGGGTCGAATGTTCATGTAGGATCTATCGTTTTGGTGGATGTTATTGATTTGATTTATAGTTCGCATTTAGATATTTTCTTCAATTTTGTTAGGATAGAGAAAACATCCCGATGCAGCGGTGTAAAATTTTTAGCCTTTTCCATACCTGTCGTGATCTAGAAAGTGTTTTTCACTAGCATTTATAATCCCTACTCAAAGGAGGGTCATTAACGAATTCCTCGTAATCAAGACGAATAGGACAATCATTGTTTCGAGAAAGCTATTAAAAAAAAGCGCTAGAAAAAAATCGAAATGCAAGAGGAATATTGCTATGTCATGTGATGATATTATCTCATTTGCCGATTTTTTCGGAATCATGCGAACTTTAATGTTATATTCGCGCTTGAATCGAAGAAAATTCATCTCGAGTTTAGCTTACATGGTCCGTTCCGTCGCAATCGGACAGACTGAAGTGAGATCACGTTTACATATATACGTTATATCTATTCAATGTACATGATATTATTCTTTGTGGGAACAGTGTGATTCCTCACTCTCTATGTACACATGAACGTCCAAATTGGATTGCACATTGTGCAAAACAGCAAAGGGCGATGGGCAAAAATATCCCCCAAATATCTAAACCGGGCGGACATCTTTGGTACTTTTGATTCTCTGGTCCATGAGAAGATGGCCCCCACTAATGGATCCCTTTGAAATGATGAAGAGAATAAAAGAAAGGGGCTGTCCTGTCCTTCCGGTCTCTCACTTTGCGCTTTTCCCCTGCTTGAGTTGGTCGATTAGCTCGTTGAGTTTGGGAGGGGGAGCAAAATGGGAGGAATGGAAAGTTTTGGGGTAAAAATGAAAATATATATATTTCGAAAGAGGTTACTCCACTTAAGAATCTCATACTGGTCAACTGGTGTATCATGACACATTTGTTCCAAACTAATTTCAGGATATGTTTGCACCCTGGCATACTTTTGCTCTGCCTTTTGCAGAGCACATGTAATATTAGTAAGGGTGTGCAAAACGGACTACCCAAACATGGAACCACTCGGATTGGCCGGTTTGGTCCGATTCCCGGGAGATTATATATATTTTTTGTGATTTTATATAGTTAACATGGGGAATACAATTCCAATTTTAGAACATATGTGTAGTTTGCATGGGAACACAATTTTAATTCCAACATATATGGTATTAAGTAGTGGGAAAAAAAAAGTGACTGATTCCATTGGACTTGAACCGGAACCGGACCTGACCGAACCAAGAACCAATCACCCGCAGATATTAGCGTCCCCACCCCTCAATCCCTTTACCAGCAGGGCCAAATGTTTTTTGTATTTCTTTCTTGCTTGAAGAAGAATTCCCCAAATCTAAACTTGCTATGTTTTTGTCCATAAAAAAAAATTTGCGTATATCGATTAGTTTTCCATTTTTCGTTGTCTAAACACCAAAAAATCGAAAAATAATTTCCCGTAAACAATTTTCCTTCAAACAAAAGAACCTTAACCTCACAAAAAATCCAATTTGTTACCCCGTGATGCATTTACCCTGATCAAATTTTCATATTACAAAAAATCTCAAATGGGTACCCTTGATTCAAATCTGATCTGCCGCGGTAGTTTGAGATCGAACGTGGAGGGTAGATTCGGGTCAGCGATACCGGTTTGAGATTTTTTTGTGAAATGGAAATTAGTTTGGGTGAAAATATGTTAAGTGAATCAGTTTGTGATATTTTGTGAGACGAAAATTAGTACGTGATGAATGTATTATGGGGGCATCGATTTGGGATTTTTTAAATAAGAGGGCAATTTGTTTGAAAGGTAGTTTTCACACCCATTTTCCTCATCCATCATCCCAAACAATGTCAGCCTGGCCTTTGCAAAGAAAAGAAAGAAGGGTTAATACCGTGAAAAACTCCAAACTGGTACGATTATGATAATTTTACTCCAAACTAATTTTTTGACCATCAAAAACCCCAAACTGATACACCTATGACAAATTTACCCCCAGTTTATTTCCGTTAAATTTTACTGTCAAATTGCTTTGTTAAATGACACGCGGCAATTGATAGATGTATCAATTTTATGTTTTACTCTCCATTTGTCACAGGCGTACCAGTTTATGATTTTTTGTAGTATTAATTCAATTTAATGAAAACTAATAGAGGGGTAAATTTATCACAAATATACCAATTCAGGGTTTTTTGTGGTCAAAAAATTAATTTGGGGTAAATTTATCACAGGTGTACCAGTTTGGGGTTTTTCGTGATCGCAAAATTAGTTTGGGGTAAAATTATCACAAATATATCAGTTTGGAGTTTTTCGTGGTATTAACCCAAAAAAAAATGAGATGGGCATCGAACCACTTGGAGGAAATGCTCATAAAGAGGAAAGATGCTTCGGCTCATGGGCATGGGCAGTGTCAACAAAGTTTAGAATTCTCTTCCTCTTGCTTTAAATAGCGTTCTCCAAAATTTGTGCTTTTTGACAATTGTATTTTGCCGGACCCATCATATATCAACTCTACAGTACGTGGTCGGATAACACGGAACCTTATAACCGCGAAGGCGGCGGCTTAAGCGGGTAAGGGCTTACTTTCAAGTGGTCGGGAGTCCGAATTTTACGAGTTTGAGGATTAGACTCCTAGCTATCAATCCACTTCAAAATGGGCTCGTGTCCGTTTGGCACTTTCAGAGTTTAATCCATGAGAATAGTGTGCAACAGTCCGTAAGGGAAGATGATCGAATGGAACCGTTAGCCATACGTTCTGTGGTAGGTTGTCGGGTCTCCTGCAGTTACATCCGTTGCGGGCACTTACACCAACCGACCCATCTCATCCTCTTTTGTTAGCATAAAAAAATCGCATAACTTTACGGATTAACAAAATAAGATTTTGCTAAACTTTGACCCAATGGCACCTATTTAATAATTAATTGAGAAAATATTGCAATTTTTATGTATTGGTTCTTTTGCTATATGTTTCATTAATACTTTGGAATTGATGATGATTAGAAAGGCGAGTGACAATGGGAAAAAGTCATGACACGAAATTTGTAAGGACTGAATAATCGTTTTTAGATGTTTTGATTTACTGAAAAAACAGAAAAACATCTTATAAGATCATGGCACTAATGATATAATACATGTATGGAATAACGACACAAATGGTCCTTGAACTTTGATAAATGTGCAATGTGTTACCTAAACTTTTAATTTGTTTAATGTGGTCCCATAACTTTAATTTAACGTGATCCCTGAACTTTTAATTTTTGATACATGTTTAATGTTTTTCAATGTTATCCTTCTATTAATTCAAGTTTAAAACAACATTTTCATATAGTCCAGGGACTAAATTGAATATGTACAAAAAATCTAGGGACCGCATCGAACAAATTAAAAGCTTAGTGATGACATTGTCATTGGGCTAAAGTTTAGGGACCATATGAACAAATTAAAAAGTTCAAAGCTCATATTGCATATTGAGCCAAAGTTGAGGGACCATTTGTTTCATTTTCCCTACATGTATTACACGTCTCAAGAATATCTAGAAATAGGTCAAACTATGCCTCAAGTTCTATGAAAAAAACAGTCTAATACCTTAAAAAACCTTCAATTTTACCTTTTGCCTCATTAAAAACCTCTAAATTTTGATTATGTCACAATTCTACCATAAACTTTTTTTTGTCCCATAAAAAATCATCAACTTTAGGTCATGTCTCAATTCTACTCTAGACTTTTTTTAGCCCTATGAAAAACCCCCAACTTTAGGTCTTGTCCCAATTTTATCGTCCAATCCCAAGTTTTCCCTAAAATATTTACAGTCTCATAAAAAACCACAAACTTTTACTTGAGTCACAATCTGCTCTCATTAACGATTCGTCTAAAATTTCTCGTTAACAACCAAGAGATGGACTACTCCCAAGCACAAGTTATTCGAGTGTAACGAGCGTGAGCTCTTCGACCACGGAAGATGAAACATTCCCAAGCACGAGAGATCGAAGACCGAGCACAAAATCCCTAAGGGAGATATTGACGGAGTATTAATGGAAAGCATATTTGGGGCCGAAGTAAAAGTTAGTGATTTTTTATGAGACAAAAAAATTAGAGTGAAATTGAAACTGGACCTAAAGCTCGGATTTTTTTTATGAAAAGGGACAATAGCTAAAATTGGAGGTTTTTTAGGGTATTAGGCCGAAAAAAAAAACCTAATGAAACATTAATTTGATTTGAGCTGATGAAAACTATTTGATGGAATTTCTATTTTGCAATTTTCTATTCCTAAAATTTTTTAATTTCCTGTGTTTATATTGCTAGTTGACCTTGTGCATAGAAACATAATATTTTTATTAAACTTGAATTTTTCTAAAGAAATTCCTAAAAGTTACAATTGACATGTGTTGATTTTAATAAATTTATTTTGAACTTTTTCAACAATACATCCGACCAATAATCTGGTCAAACCGAATATAGTGACAGATGATTTGATCAGCAAGAAACAAGGCTTATATAATTCCGTTAGTTCATCACAATCGAGCAACAGAAGATCCTTTACAATCGGAACTCTCAGCCGCCTTCAACGCAGGAACCCGCCACGTGTCGAGCTCGGCGAACGAGCTTGAGACACTTGGCATGCCACGTGGGACGAGGAAGCATGCAGAACTGAGAAACCCTCCCTCCTATAAATTCTCAATAGAGCTTCACTTCCATGGCGGCGTTTGGCATCGCACTGTCCCTCACAGCCGAAAGAGGAGAAGAAAGAATAGCTGAAGAATATGGCGGATCGGAGCGGAACCACCGCCGGCTGCAACGACCGGTGCGGCTGTCCCAACCCCTGTCCCGGCCGTGACGCTTGCAGGTGCGCGCCATTAGAAACTTAGCACTATCGATTTGTGGTACTTAATGCCATGCCTTCTGGGATTATGTATTAATCAATTGTGATGTTTTGTAGATATATATTATGATTAATTGTAATGCCTTAGTTGTGCGCTGTTTACATTTATGTCAATACCCTTTTAAACCTGTGTGGAATTGAACTATGTGTACACATAATTAAACGATTAAACGTTTAATTTGAACAGGTGCACATCGATTAGCAAGGCCTCGGGTAGGGACGAAGCTCACAAGCGATGCACTTGCGGCGAGCACTGTGGCTGCAACCCTTGCTCGTGCGCCAAGGCGTGGGCCGCCACCGGCACCGGCAGGCTCCACTGCCGCTGCGGCAATGGCTGCACATGCGCCACGTGCGCCGCTTGAGTTTGGTTGATTTTTTTTTTTTTTTTGTTCGTTTGTTTTTGGCTACCTTTTCCGATTGAGGATCCGTTTTAGCTGATCTGAATGTAAGTATTTTCCACAAAAATAAAACGAGGCCGCCCTTTATCTGATGAATGGATCTAATCTCTTGAAATGTTGGAGTTACTCTAGTGCTATTAAGGGGTGCAATTTGTATCGGATATAATCGTGTTTGACACTATGTTTTGACGCATTCAATCTTAACCGGTTCAGTCCAAATTTTTATATAATATAAAATAAATGATGTGTCATGAGCAATCTCGCAATAAACATTCTAGAAAGGAGGAAGCAATGGATATGAAACGAAGGCATATGTTTATAATTTTTAGGCAAAAATGTTTGGTTTGGTCCTAGAATATTTCATTGAAATGCAATTTTTGTCTCGCTATTAGCAAGATGAGTGAATATGCATATAGTATACTCCTTTTCTTTTTGACCCTTTGAAATAGCACTTTTCTAACAAGTTAGGCATCGCATAAGAAAAATTATTTGGCAATCACTTATTTATATTGATAATTTGCGTATTCGATCTAGCTTATTAAAAACATGCTTTTTTATGGAAAGAAATCACCACTTTCTAACCTGATAAGCGTTAGAAGTAGAGATATAGTTTTGATTCGAGAGACATCAAATGAACATAAAATCTATAGGTATTTTTATACGATGACTATGAAATATGCCTTCTTAATTTCATTTTCAGAATTGGCAACTTACGCATATAAAATAAAAGTTATATTAAGTGCACTGTAATGTGGATCCAAACACGCGTTATATCATCTACTTGTATTCTCACATGGTGCTCTCCAACGTATGTGTATTTTGTTATGTGCCAAGCACATAAAATACTGTATTTCTAGACAATTGCCTAAAAAATACTTTAGCGAAAAATTACATAAAAAAAGTAAAGAAAAAAAGAACTGAAAGAGGGGAGTAGGAACTAGGAAGAAAGAGTAGGCGAAGGTGAAGTAGCATTAGAAACTACTCTCCTTTATAGGTGGTCAACAATTAGTTAATCTGCTCACATTCGTATTGCTTGTTTCGCTGAAAATAAATGATATTACTTACAAAAACAAATAAATAAAAAATGTTATCATAATCTACGAAAATATGTAAATATAAATTATCGATAATGAATATATTTTCCATTAACTAATTATTTCGAGCAATACAAATGATCATTTTTAGGAAAGTATTTTTTAGATAATTCATTTTCATCGAAACAAACTAAGCTATTTTAATATTTTTGATTTTAGAGTGTGAATCCGAGTCGGACCAATCTCGATATTAATCCTACCCAAATTAGTAATTCGTATCAAATTTGATGCGTTGTAACTTTGGACCGAGCTTGTTTTGTGTATGGGCCTCAATGAAATGAGCATACACAGCAACCTCGCTGATCTATGTTGTTTTGGTAAGAGCTTGGCCCGCTTCAATTCCAGTAGAATATGTCGATTTATAAGTCCACTATGTACCTCGACCCAAAAAAAAGTCCACTATATACTGTGAGATTGGGCAAATCAATCTAAATTCGGGCTAATTCCCCGTAAAAAATCCCCAACTTTGGGTCTAATCCCGATTTCATCCCAAACTTCTTGTTGTTTAAGAAAGTATTAATACCACCAAAAACCCCAAACTAATACGCTTGTGATAAATTTACCGCAAACTATTTTTTTGACCATAAAAAACCCCAAACTGGTAGACTTGTGATAATTTTACCCCGAATTAATTTTTTGACCACCAAAAATTCCAAACTGGTACACTTGTGACAATTTTACCCCGAACTAATTTTTTGACCACAAAAAACCCTAAACTGGTACATTGATGATAAATTTACATTCCGCTAGTTTCCGTTAAATTTTATTGTCAAATTGCTAAGTTTGATGACACATGATAGTTGACGGGTATACCAGTTTGGGGTTTTAACCCTCTGTTTGTCACAAGTTTACCAATTTGTGATTTTTCGTGATATTAATCCAATTTAACGGACACTAACGGAGGCTAAATTTGTTATAAATGTACCAGTTTGGGGTTTTTAATGGTCAAAAAATTAGTATAGGGTAAAATTGTCATAGATATACTGATTTGGGGTTTTTGGTGATCAAAAATTTAATTTGGGGTAAAATTGTCACAAGTGTATCAATGTGCGATTTTTGGTGTTCAAAAAAATAGTTCGCGTAAATTTATCACGGGTGTACCAGTTTAGGATTTTTGGTGGTCAAAAAATTAGTTCGGGGTAAAAGTGTCACAAGTGTACCAGTTTAGGATTTTTCGTGATATTAACCATTTTAGAAAAAACCTTAAACTTCACTTTAGTCTCAAATCTGCTTACTCATCCAAAATCGCAATTGGTTTCTTTAAGATTATTAACATTAAGAGATTGCTGTTGTTTTATACAAAGTGAGCGTGTTGATGAAGACACGACTTCTGGTGATGAATCTTGTTCCATACAAATGTGAGGGAGGGTGTTGATAAAAATGCAGGTTTTGATGATGAATCTCTAAGTGGCCTTGATGTTGATAATTTTGAAGAAAGTAGTGGCCATCTTTGAACGCATCAGCAAATTTGGGAATAGAGTGAAAGATGGGAAAATCAAAAAAAGAAAAAGAAAAAGAGTTCGGAGCAAAATTGGGATTAAACCTAAAGTAGGGGTGTCAAATAAGTGGGTCGGGTCGGGTCATAAATGGTCCGACCATATTATCCCATTTAACCCGTTTATAACTCATTTATCACAATGCAAATATCCCGACCCATACTTGACCCATATTACTAAAATGCTTCTATATTTAACCAAATCTAGAAAAACATGTTTCTTATGATTTTTTTTTTAAAATTACACTATTAAAACATTTATATGCAATACAAAACTAGTGAACAGTTTTTATAATTTTTTTTTTGAAAATTGAGGCTTCGTTTGTTTCACGAAAGATGCAACATTTCTAGAAAATGTTTTTGAACGTTTGGTATTTAAAATCTAATTTGATTTTACTTCGTGCACTCATTTTAATAATTTTAATAATTTTTTTTAAATCAAAATTTTAATTTTTTCTTTTTTCTTTTTCCTTTATTTTTGGCCCGTGGCCGGCCATGGCAATGGCCGGTGACCGGCCATAGGAGGAGGACGAGCTTGTAGATATGGCGAGGCCTTAGCCTCGCCGGATCGGTGAGCTTGAGCTTTACTGACCTCCGGCGGGCTCGTCCTCGCCCTATGGCCGGTTGCCGGCTGTCGCCATGGCCGGCCACTAGCCGAAAATAAAGAAAAAAGAAAAAAAAGAAAAAAGAAAAGAAAAGAAAAAATAAAAATAAAGGAAAAGAGAAAAAAATAAAAATAATTTTGACTTTTTTTTAAAAAATATTTATAAAGAGGGATAGAGTGTGTGTGGATCTAATGGGTGGGTTGAAAATGGGTTGTACATCGGTTTGTCTTTAAACCCACATATAAGAAAGGCTTAGAATTCAAATCCATTAACAACCCATTCATTAAAACTTGACTAACCCATATTTGACCCAAATCATTAAATATGGGTCAAAAAAATGGGTTTCAACTCATTTTGACACCTCTAACCTAAAGTTTAAGGTTTTTGAGAAAATCAGGCCATCTAAATTCTCCGGAGTTTCCTCAACCTACTGCAAAAAGGTCTCTGGTTTGACTTCTGCTTGAGGAAGTAATTCCTTGCACGTTGCTAATCTTGCCTAAAAGGTGTAGGAGAAGGTGTAGGGGCATCACATGTAGATCATGTTCAGCACAATCTCGTATTGAGGGTCTGACAAATTGGGGTTACCAAGTTGTCATCGTGCTGGTAATTTATATAACTTCTTGTTAGCATAAAACATTATGATTTTTATTCTATCAACAAATCGGTCTAGAATGGAAAGGTGCTGACCCGTGTCATGTTAATGTCTAGATCAAACGTCTCGTGTCGTGTTTTTTAAAGTTCTTTTGCTTTGTAATTCGTGTTTTGCCTCGTGTAGTGTTCATAGTGCAGACGAGCCTTGTCCAAATCACTAGACCCACTCTTATTTAAGGTAAAAAGTTGGGCAAGCCCAGTCTACTCGGCTTTATGATCTTACAAAAGTACTTAGTCGACTTTAATTGAGATTTGCAAAGAATTCCATCGGTGTTTAAAATTCAAGGACGACTATATTATATGCAACATCATTTTGAATTCATAAACTTGATTATGCCAAAAAAACGTGATGTGTTGAAGGCTGTTAGTATAACAATGATGATGCTGATAATTATGAGATTAAGCATAAATTTAACTTAAGAACAAGACAAATATTTGCAATAACCTAATCCAAGAAGGCTTAGATATAGAAGTATAACATAAACAATAGAACATACACACTAATGAAATGCTTCGAGTACCAAAGGTAACGCCCTGTTAGCTCTTGGGTCCATAACTAATATAAATCCGTAAATTTTCATTTTATGGGAAGAAGTTCAGGTAAACTCTTATCCATAAAAATACCCTACTAATTTCATGATCTTAGTACGAGGTGAGCCAAAGTTCAGATTGGTTACCAATGACCGATCCATAATTTTTCTTATTCAGGGCTAATATGATCCATTACTACAAAGAAAATTGAGTATATTTGTTTTAGATGTAAAAGTACTATTCTTACGACGAAAAAGTACGACGCAGTTAATGTTCGTTTATCTATAACGATTGTATTCTACAATTGTGTATCGATTGTTACCAATTTGTGAGTGCAATTTGCCCTCACTGTGACTTATATATATATATGCATTTTTTTTTGTAATTTAATGGAGGCAAAACTCAATTTGGAAGGTCAAAATAGTATGAGATTACTTAAAGGACATTCAAGACAAAATATTCCATAACAACTACAAGGAAGTGACTCGGGCAACAAAATTATAAGCTCATCCCTGTTGGCGGTCTAAACATTGAATTGTTTGTACTTGATAGTACGAGATATCGAACCCATGCTGTGTTCCAGACCCAGACTCAAATTTGTCCCCTATTCACTAAGCAACTCCATAGGTTAATTCAAATACATAGATTTCGAGTTTATACTTCTCTTTAATCGACAATTATGATGTGCTATCATTGGTCGATATATATTTTCACAA